GGGAGTTGAAGTCCACCCATCTGAAAGTCATTAAGGTTGAGAAACACTGCTTTAGAGAGGCTGGGTTCCCCCCCAGACCAAGAGAAACTCTTGCAATTGGCCCCAGTAGCCAATCACAGGTGTCCATGTAATGATGTCATAAAGCTAATCTGAGGGAAGGTAATGTTTCCTTTCATCACTCTGAAAGGTTTTATGGGTTCGCCCCTTTCTTTGCAGCCCTCGGCCTGAGTCCTCCTGCCCCCGTGATGGAGACTTCCATGAAACGCCTGCTCGGATTTGGAATCGCTCCTAGATCATGTAACTCTCCCAAAAACTGGGAAAGAGAATGGAAACCATAGCAAAGTGCCCACTTCCTGACCTCCAGAGGCAAGAGTGGCTTCAAATCATGATGGGTGGCTCCTTTAGTTCCTAGCCCAGGTCTTTCTGTCTCAATATTTTCTTTTTCGTTGATTTCTAGGTTAACTTTTCTTCCATACGGTGGCAATGAACGGCAGTTCATTCAGCTGTGTTCCTGGACATGATCGTCTACCTCAAAAGTCCTCGGATGCATCTCCGCTTTCTTGCTGAACGTCCTTTCCTTTCAAGGCCGGTTGGACCCATCAGGCTAAAAGTAGCGGCCTCCGATCGACTTTTGAACACCTTTCTAAGCAGGTTGCCAATGCTGTCTCCATCACTGGAAGCTCTTGGGGCAGCAAGGCCTTAGCAGGAGAAGACCAAGGAGGAGTCACAAGCGCCAAGAATCCCACCTTTTCTTAGAGCAAATCGGACGCCTTCCCTGTTGGAAGCTCATGGGGCGGTGGAATCGATGCCTGGAAAGGAGGAGTGCCCAAGCTGGGGCGATGTGCTGAGAAAACGGCATTGAGGCGCCAACCTTATCCGTGGCCCCTCAGACTGCAGCCCCGATCCCTCTCCTCTGCTCAGAAGTGCATTTCCCAAGTGGGGATCTGCCCCTTTCCTCAATTCTCGATCTGGACTCGGTGAAGGTTCGTAATGAAACTGGCATGGCCAAGCTCTTGCTAAAATTCCAAAGATATTTTCGGCGGAAACCCATCCGTTTCTTCACCTTCATTGCTCTCTACCTGACCGCTGGGAGCTTGGTGTTCCTCCATGCGGGCTTCAACGGGGAGACGAGAGTCCCGGGGCCTGCCTCTCGAACCAGCAACGATGCTGCGGAAGGGACAGAACCCCAATATTTGGGGACGCTGCAGACGGGCAGGGAATTTAAAGCAATGCCAGAGTCTCTGGTGTTTGCCCGAAGGTACGGGGCTTGGTTCAAGAGCCCTCCCAAGGACGCAGCAGGAAGAAGCCGTGGGGATTACGGGGAGACGTGGAGTCGAGTGCTCAAGGGGAGGAACGTCCACGAGAAAGAGGAAGACAGAGGTAATGTTGCTTTGGGGAAGCAAAACAGCATGTGGGGAATGGGAATTAGAATCTTACTTTTATCCCAGCTCTTCTGAAGTTATGGCTGCCTTCATTTGAAGGGCTGGGCCAAAAATTATCTAGTTTCAGGGCAGACAATTTAAGATTGCATTCATCTTTTTAGCTGCCACATCACACTGTTGGCTCATTTTGGGTTTGTATTGCTCCAAGCCAAATCTTACTCATTCTTTCCTTGCATCTTTTAATGTTTGCACTTTGTTCTATTTATTTCTCCAATTTCCATCCTGGGGCAGTTTGTGCCCAGTGTTTCAACCTCCCAAGATTTTTTTGAATCTGGCTGACTGGCCTCCCAAGCTTTGTGTCATTTGTGATTTTAATCTGCATTCCCTTTACCTTGCTACCCAACATGTATCGAAATAGTGGACCCTGTAGGTGATAAGCTTGCAGAATTTATCTATTTGCCACCCATGCCAAAAGTCTCTCAATTTGCTCCAGAAGTTCCCCTAGGGCTGCTCAACCTGTTACCAGTCCACCTAAGAGTTGAAACCTTCTAACCTCTTGACTACAAGGTTTCATTAGCAGCCATGTCAGATTTTTGAAATCAAGTTATACTAAGTTCGTGATGTCCCCCTTATCTATCAGCTGGGTGATTTTACTAGGGGGAAAAAAGGTAAGCTAGTCATCCCTTATTTTTGATAATCTGCTGCTGCCAAGAATAAAGGAATTTGATGCTGCCCATCAAATGGCTGCTTAATCATCTCTTCCTGAATTTTACCTGCTATTGAAATCAGTATGATTTGTAGATTTCAGACTGCCCCTCTCGACCTGTTTTTTAAAGATGGGAACAACACTTGGACATTTTCATTGTCTCAATACCTCATCTATTCCCACAAGAGTCTCCTAAGATTGCAGCCAGCAAGTGGAAGTAACCCTTCTAAATGATTAATCTTTCTCTCTCTTTTTTTAATATACTTCAAAGAACACACCTTCATTTCCAGGGGGGAAAAACCCCCAAACAAAACACTTCGTATGGCTTTGCCAAGACAGTTTCATGTTAGACACTGGGTGGGGAAGAGTAAATCACTGTATTGCCCCCATCCAGAGATGTAGTAAATAAGGGAAAATCCAGGCTGAGACAAAGCATTTCTTCCTCTCCAAAAGGCACAGGAAGAAAGCTAGAGATTCTGAAGTTAGAAAGGTGGCTTTGTGGCTGAACTGGCCCAGTGTGGATGTTTTCCAGGTCCACAAGCCCGGCTGTAATCGCAGCTTCCCCTTCACTTTGCCTGCCGGGTGGCATCTTTGGCTGGTGAGTTCAGGGCAGTTTGCTGGGTGCTCAACGTCTCCAAAACCGGAAGATGCTTGGGATCTTCTCCACCTGTGGCTCCTCTATCCCATATTGCCTCCAGCAGGCTTCCCCCAGCTGCTGTCATCCAGCTGTGTTGGGACACCCATTCCACGACTTCATAGCCGGGGAACTTACTGCACGCGAGTGGGAATTTTCAGCCAGCCCATGGACTGCAGGAACTCGGTCTGGGCTGGCCGTTCGTCCCGCAGAGCTGCGTCCTGATCCAAAGCCACGTTTTGCCTTGGCGTTACCCCAAAGGAAGCCCCCGAATTTCCTGTTCCTGGTGGTTTTGGCCTCGGCTAGGTGGTTCTGAGAGGTGCAGGGAGGCGGTGGGCTCGTTCTTGAAACACGCTCAGCCACGCTCGTTAGTTTAATTTGAATTGACACTCCGAGAATTTGTACCAGATGGCAAGGGAGATCTGGTTGCCACCGACAGGCAGCCTTCCTTGGCAGGCCCAGCCGTAGGCAGAGCATCCGCAGCAATTAACCTCGAGCCGGATGGCTCTCCGTTCTGGCTGTCAGCGGTGGAGACCAGCCGAGGAAATCACGGGAGCAAACGGGGCATCTGTCACGGGCACGGCCCTCCCCTCCCTTTGCTGCTGCTCCAGGGGGGTGCAAGGACAGATGCGGCCCCCATTTGCCCCGCTCCCCCCAGCCCTGCCGCTCCTTTTCTTGGCAAGGGAGCCCCACCTGGATGGGGGCAAGGGGGTCTAGGGCAGCCTGAAAATCCCAGGGTGAGGAGGGGGTGTTTGCGGATTTTCCCCAGGAAGACCCCCAGCAGTCTTGAACTGAAAGGACTTTCCAATCGATTCCCCAGCCCTTTTTCCTCCCCTCCAAACTTCCTCCGTTGCACCCCAGTTCAGGGACAGGATTTGGGGTGTGTGGGGGTCAGAGCAATTTAAATAACCTTAGTTCCTCCTGAAAGCTAAAGCAAAAAGATAGGAAATTTCAGGCTCGCCTCCCCTCAGGTGTCACTGTTCTGCCACTAAGCTCCCAGGATCGCTGGACGTTGCATTTTTTAATAAAGGGCCATTCCCCCCCCCCCCCCCAATTTACCTTACTAGCACACTGAAAAGTCAAGGAGGAAAACGAACGTGAATCATCAGCCAGCTGTGCAATGACCATGCTGGCTGGGGGCGATGGGAAGGGTAGTTCAGCACATTGGCCCAGCCTGGATGGATCACTGGACAAGCATTCAGCGTCCGTCTCATTTCAGATTCAGGGCTGCCTTTGGAAAGGGCCGAGCTGAAGGCTCTGGGGCTGACCCGACTCTTCCCCCAGCTGAGTGGCTTTCTGGGGCAAACCGAAGGCAGAGGGACAATTGCAGGGTTGGTCCCTTTTTCCCCTGCTGTGCAAGGAAGAGAAACACCCAACAGGTTTTCTTGCACCAAGCCTGATGCTGTAAATCAAAAGGACCATTGGTATGCAGGGGAGCGTGCTCTGAATCCACATCTTGGCACTAGCGAAGCCAGTCTGTCACTCTGACGGATGGTTCCCTGGACAGAGAGTGCAGATTTCGGGCGGGGGGAGCAAGGGGGGCGAGGGAGGCTGGGCTGCAGTCAAGAGCCTGCTACTCTACGCCACCTCCGTCAGCTTTCTGGATGGGAGTTTTACGCT